TTATTATTATCATTACTTGAGCACACAGCCTTCCAGATACTGTACAAGTCCAGAGCCCTAACCCCTGCTCCCCCACTGCGGATATATAGAAAGGTAACTAATATTACACTGGGCTGAGCTTTGACTTCGGCTTTGTTGTGGGTGGAGATTGTTTTAATGGAAGACACGTAAGAGTGAGCAAGGCAAAGACAGTCCGGAACTGCATGTGAGAATGTAATCCTTTTAACTGCACATTCCTCTATTCCTCTAGTGCAGAATTGTTGGAGCTGGAGGTACAGCCCTTCAAAGTTATAGGAGTATATCTCAGGGCTGTTTACAGTATATCTCATTGCAAGTATTTTGGCTGATAGTCTGTCTATACAGAGCTGAGAGTACATAATTTTAGTTTAATAAAATCCAGATGAATTACTAGCAGGATAATTATTGGGTTGGTATGCAATAATTAGGTTTTGCCAGGGCAGTAAACACACAGTGTATCTCTAAATAAAACACATACAGTAGGTCCGCAGTCTCTGAGAGCACCAGTCATAAATATACAGGCTGTCACTCCAGAGCAACTGGGTAATACACACGCCTTAGGTCATGTACTGGGTTACAAACTGCATGTCTGAAGCTGGGGCTTCTTCATTCAGGTTTTGTAGGAAAGCTTTAAACAGATATTGGCAAAATGCTTTTTTCGGTAGTAGATATTTGAAATGTTAAATTGAAGACACCATGAAACAGAATGGTACATTTGCAAGAATTAAAAAATTCCATAAACAAATCTAAAGAAAATAACACATTGTTGCTATGGGAATTGCAGACTGAAGCATTACCATAGTTAATAGTATCACACTATTTTTTGATTAATTTATTTTGTGTATTTAATTTTTTACGCAAGAACAGAGAAACCACATTTTCTTGACATTAGAAAGCCTGATTGAATACTCTGTAAAGTGAAAGTTAAAAGCAGTTACCAATAGTAAGAGACCTTACTATTGTTTCATTTGAAGCGGAAATTGTAATTCTGTTTCATCAGGTTAAAAATAATAAAGATTTACAGGATTATTTTTACAGAGATTATATGCCGAACGTTACCTGGTCTCATTCCAGGTTGTTCAGCAGTCTTTACTTGATTAAGAGAAGTAGTTTTCTGAATAATGATCATTTGATCGACCCCTTTAATGTTCACTTTTTTGTTCTAATATAGACATTTTTTTTTTGTTCTGAGGGTGATTTCATCTTTCTTCTTTCTGCATCTGCTCCTGAATCCTCTGAGGTTGTCTGCATTTAGCAGTGAAACAGTTTTTCATCGTAGAATGCAAGTGTTGATCTTGGGTAGCATAGTGCCACAGTGTTTAGCATTGCCACCTCGCAGCACACGGGCCCTGGGTTCAAGTCACAGAGTGACTGCTGTGTGGAGCTTGTACGTTCTCGCCATGTTCGCACAGGTTTCCTCCAGGTGCTCCAGTTTCCTCCCACAGTGCCAGATTATTGGCTTCTGGGAACATTGGCCCTGGTGGGAGTGTGTGTCTGTGTGTACCCTACAGTGGACTGCTGTGCCATCCAGGCCGTATCCTGCCTTGTATCTGTTGCTTGCTGGGCTAGGCCCGGTCTCCCAGGTGACCCTTACTGGATAAAGCCAATCGAAAACGGAGGGGTGGATGAAGTGTTGAAGCTGAGCTTTAATTTCACTTTTGGAGTGAAAGATTAAAAAATGGGATCAGAAAGAAAAGAAGACATGGGCTCCTAGACACAGACAGTGAGGTTAGGAACGTTTAACCCAAGACGTGAACCACAAAAGTACAATGAACACCAGACAAAGCGAGCCCTTACTGGTTGCCTAGAGACCACGGGCTCCTATTCTGAGCAGAGTTACCTGAAATGTGGCTTTGGCCTCTCTCCAGGCTTAGATGAAATGTAACTCTCCTCACTGATGCCCTGCCAGCCATTCATTACCACATCCATTAAAGCCAATTATTACAGCTTTCGGATACCGCTTGACATTAAAAGCGATAAGTTAACTGTTTTATGTCATCTCATAAGAAATGTTTTTAAAAATCTGTTTCCGTTTAGCTTTGACAGCTGAGCTATTATTACCTTGTACTAAATAGAACGGGTGATTAAATATTGCTGCCGGCTGTGCATTTCTGGAAACTAATGATGAAAGTGACAGGCCTGGACTAAGACTTTATTTTCCATTGTATTTGAAAGAGCTAACAATTAGTTGTCTCAAGTCTCTTAATGAATCTTGACTTTACCAAAACTGAAAGATTATTCATTTGGACATAGGAAGAAAATAAGCCACTGGAGTCGGGACCTTTATAGTGTAGGACTTTCTGATTGTGCAAAAACTGTAATTCATAAGAAATGTATGTCCTTTCATGCAAAAAGTGTATGTATGATAAAATAATTGTGCTTTGGAAATATGAAGTATCTTAAGTATCTAATTTAAGCTGGAGTGTTTAAGGATATTAGTGAATCATACTAATTCTGTTATACAAAACTTATACAATACGAGATGCGCATTTAAAAAAGAAATAGAAGTTTAACTCTAGACTGATCAAAGCTGTGTGGAATCTAAAGGAACAGTTTCAGAATGTCCATGTGAGTAACTTCCACAGGAACAGTGCGTTGTGATATACAGTACAGTAAGATGCACATCATTTGTGGTTGATAAAAAATGGAAGGTTAAATATGTACAGTAAGAATCTACTTGTGTGTTATGGTAAACAGGGTAAGTGTTCAGTTTCAGTTTAATCTCTAAGACTCTTCTCTTCAACCTTTAGCTTTCTTCTGCAGTTATAATACATGAAAAAATGCTCTGGCAGGTTTTGCAATATTCCTTTTTTCTCTCTGTTGCCCTCTGTACTATCTTTGTTTTCCATGTGCATGCAATTAATAATAATCCTTTTCTTAACCATTCTTCAGCTTATCATCTAGCTATAAAGCAGTACAGTATAGGCATATTGAGTTCAATACTTTATTTTAAAACAAATTTTGAAGACCAATTATTTGTCTTGCTTTTTTGCTGAATACCTGTATTTTTGGGGGCCACTGCCCCGGCTGGTTATTTAGCTGTGTTGTGACTGTGAATGACCGTCTGCCCTGAAGGTCCTGTATTGTTATTGAAATCAGCCGGCGCCTGTCACATGATGGACTTGCATGTCTTCTCTGTTGATAGTACGGCCGCACTCCACTGCACCTGGCTTCCTACAAGGGTCACGTTGAGGTCGTCCGCATTCTGCTGAAGGCAGGCTGTGATCTCGACATTCAGGATGATGTAAGTACTCCCAGTGTGAGTCTGCTATGAGTGCTGACGGACTTCGTCTTCTGCCACTGCTCCTCGTCCTCTGTTTTTACTGACTGGAGGACATAACCCCCCTTTCTACCGTGTCTTTGGGTTAACCATCCAATATTGATCCACTCTAACGCTGGAGATACCGAGATACTGTTCCTACGCTATGCGTTTTTACTTTAATGAAACAGGTGCAAAGATTTTAAGGTTACCGCCTGATCTGCTCTCCCACACGCTTTTTAATATATTATCAGGAGTGAGTGCTTTTACCCTTTCTTCTTTAATATTTTCCTTTCGGTTCAACACACCAGTGATAAAACCAGTCCTGTACGTCTACTTTTTGGACTTTTTACTAGCAGTAAAGATACCAATCTTTAAAGGTGGAAGTGACACAATTTTCATTGGATCATGGAAGAATTATAGGCCAGGTGTTAACTAATTATCTTCTGGTTTTGTGTAACTATTATGTCAGTTTATCTTGGGGGGGGGGGTTATTAGTTTGCTGCTTGAAAATCTGAAATGTGGGGTTAATTTGCATGATGGGGTTAACACAAAGAAGTTGGCTGGTAAATATAATTGTAATTTGATTTTCCTGCAGATGCTTCTTAGAGAGTCTTAGAGAAACTATTGCTAGTAGAAGAATGACCTCCAGTGGCCTAGAGTGGGATTATTTTGACTGCCAGCTAGATGAAGCCAGCTCTCTGGTGCACATGCCCGCTGGGCACATGCTTTCCTTGGCACCAGCGCATGCCAGAGCCTACCACACCTGCAGAACCACATCTGACGGGTCACTGAGCTCTCAGACAGCCCATACCAGTTCCTCAGAGGTAGCCAAGGACACATTTGCCATGGTGAACAGAAACAAGGAAGAAAGTGCTAAGACAAAGCAGTGGAGAAAGGCTAGGAGGCAGCCGACAAGATCAGAGAAAGTGAAGGAGGTCAGAGCACTTATGCTAAGCCAGTAGATGAAAAAACATTCTCACATTCTCCTCTGGCTGCTCGGCTTCTGGTGCATGGGATGCCTTCTGTTTCTGCTGTAATTGTCACACAAGGGTGGAAATTTGCATGTTTGGGGTTCTCTCTACTCTAAAAATCAAATCTCATAAAGTGACTCTGACACACCTCTTTAACATCTACTACAACAGTAAAGAGGTACTTCCTACCCACAGGAAACAGTGACCAAGCCATGTCTGCATTGCCTCACGAGCACAGATCTCAGTTGATTTCCAGATTCCCCTTTTCCGCAGTTTTATTGGTGTTATTGGCTGAATGTGCTCATTAAAAATCTGTCTACCACTGGCTAATGTGTACGTCAATGCAAGATTTAAATGTCTCACATCCTTGTTTCTTTGGTTAGTATCTGATCAGTGTGGTAGAAGTGTACTGTTTCAAGACCTCCAGTCTTCTAGCGAGATGTCTTCATTCCCTTGCTTTCATTATGTGTTTCTTCAGGGTGACCAGACAGCTCTCCACCGGGCAGCAGTGGTGGGGAACACTGACATTATTTCAGCTCTCATCCAGGAAGGCTGTGCTCTGGACCGGCAAGACAAGGTAAGTCTCTCCACCGTCCGGAAGTTTAGCACCTGTACATCTATACACGAGTTTCAACACAGCTGCAAGTGGGAATGAAATGGAGTGTTTTTCTTGGGGGCTGTCATGTTGTAATTTGGGATTAAAGGGAAGACAATTTTGTTATTTTCTCCCAGTTATTTGCATACGTTACAAAAGTGCATTGCATTGCACTGAGACTTCTGCAGTCCGGTCTTGACTTTACTACTCTGGGACCAAGCAGTGCAAAGCAAATGGCCCTGAGAAAATGTGAACATTCACTATGGAAAACCACTTCTTCTGACTTTTCAATTTCAACGTAGTTAAGTTCCATTATGTCAGCTTTTTATTCCTTTTTTCTGTTTTAAAAGTTCACTTGTGAAAACAAAAACAGAGTAAATGGAGTTTATAACACAATTTCGGGAGGGATGACAACAACCAAGCTCAATCGGACTCAGCTGTCAGTAATTAGCAAATCCTGACAATCCATTCCTCTCCCAAACGCTATAAATACCTACAGGATCCCTATCTTTCTCTCTTCCATGGCAGGGTGGAGTGGAGTGGAGTGGTGGCTCTGTGGCTAAGGATCTGTGCCTATAGCTGGGAGGTTGCCGGTTCAAATCCTGCAGCCAGCAGAGAAATCCTACTCTGTTGGGCCCCTAAGCAAGGCCCTTAACCCCAACTGCTCTAGGGGTGCTGTATAAATGGCTGACCCTGCGGTCTGACCCCAAGTTTCTCTCCCTGTCTGCGTGTCTCATGGAGAGCAAGCTGGGGTATGTGAAAAGATGAATTCCTAATGCGAGAAATTGTATATGGCTAATAAAGTGATGTTATGTTATGTCTTGCATCCCACCTCCACCCCAGCTCCCCCTCTGGAGCTGCCCCTCGGTCACCCTGCAGGGGGGTCCTGGTCTCCTTGTCCTCTGGCCGGGAGGCCAGCCCTCAGCCAAGAGGGTTGAGCCACAAGTTTGCTGCATGATACTTTATTCTTGGGTGTTTGTCATTCCTCGTGAACTGTTGTTAGTTCTTCTGATGTAAATTACCAGCCACCCGTATTATAAACACAGGCAAATGAAAATGATGGCAGAGAAAATATGGATAGAGAGATTGTGAAATCTCAAGTGCAGCTCCATCTGAAAAATCATGATTTTGAAGAAAATGGTCCAGATTTAGGACGGAAAATAACTGTTCTACTGCTGTTTTCTGTGCTGTGCTGAGTGTTTAACTCCCCGTCATCGAGTTCCTCCAGCGGGAGCAGGTGATTCACAGTGTTCGCTGCTTCTTGCAGGACGGGAACACTGGTTTGCATGAAGTTTCTTGGCATGGATTCAGTCAGTCCGTCAAACTGCTGGTCAAAGCAGGAGCTAACATTCATGCAAAGAATAAGGTAAAGCAACCAATTCAGAAAGTTATATTGAAAAATCTATGAAAATAAAAAATGACCTGTAGCAGGTGCGCTGATGTTTTATTGAATAGATATGATGTCGATTAACACATTGCATCAGTAGGGTGCCCTACGGTAAAGGTCACAGGCAATCCTGCGTAGGCTTTTGTTGGAAAGCAGTACAGTAATTTATGTGATTTAGTGTTTATGCAACAAAGCCACTTGAGTTTAACTATCAGTCCCAAATCATAAACTAATCAATATTATGCCAAAACCATTTCATCTACAGTAAATTAAAATCATTTAGATTTTATACAGAAATATCCTTTGATTTTCTAAAAACATACATGGATCTGTAGTCGTGTGTTCTTGACACTCACTATGCTGTTCTGTTCCCAGCAAACTTGTTCTGTGTTGAAACATGTCTGTGTTGGTGAATGAGGACAAAGTGTGAAATTATTTTTGTTGGAATACAAGCTTCCTTCTAACCACGCAGTTGTCTGAACCTTGAAAAATATTTATGTACAGAAATATAGTTAAGCCTGAGAGCTACTTTACAAAAAAAAAAACAGTGCCTTCAGCTAATTTCTCAAACCCCGGTTTCTCTTCTGCAAGGCAGGGAATACAGCTTTACACCTGGCGTGCCAGAATGGCCATGCCCAGAGCTGTCGGCTCTTGCTCCTGGGAGGATCCAGGCCAGACAGCAAGAACAACGTGAGTTTCAGGAAGGCCTGTGTCCGCACCGCCTGTCTCTCTGTTCCTCGTGTGTCACGCCGCTATCGATGAAGAGGATTTCCTTCGTGCTCCTGCAGTTCCTGGCCTCGGACACTGCACAGTACACCCCGTGCCTTGACAGAATCAAATGAGCACACACACAGTTACAGTATCGGCGCTGCTCATGACTCGTGATTATTCATATCGACATAGACAAGGTTACACTCTTATTTGGTACTGTATTTTATTCATGAGAAATAAGGAACTTCACACGGAGAGGCAGTAGATCAGTCTGTAATTAATACATCTTTACTGACAGACTGGAACAGCCCTCTTGAAAACCTGGAGGCAGCAAAGGAGCCTTAGATTATCAGTGCCTTGAGCGAAGGGTTCGTATTGCTGAAAGAAAAGTCTGGACCAGGCTGTACATTCATTCATTCGTCTGTTTTCAAACCCCCCCATCCGACTTTGGATGGGGGAGCCTGTTCCGGCAAGCAGCAGGCGGAGGGCAGGGTACACCCTGGAAGGGACGCCAGTCCTTCACAGGGCCGACACACACACACACACACACACACTCACAGCAGGGCCAGTTTCCCCAGAAGCCAGTTGACCCACCAGTATGTCTTTAGACCGTGGGAGGCTCCCAGAACACCCCAAGGAAACCCAGGCGAACATGGGGAGAGCGTTCAAATTTCACGCACACAGCACCCCAGGAATTGACAATGGGGCCCCAGCGCTGCGGGGCAGCACTGCTAACCACTGGGCTGCCCTGCCACGCGGATATTATTACAGGAACAGCTTGTTCATTCTAAACAACCTTTATAGCTGTGAGTTTGTCAGTCTTCGGAGCTGTGAGATTTGCCCTGTGTAGCTATTGTAACACTCAGGAGGTGTGTTGGACCAAGAGGGACCTGAGCCCTTCAGCTGTTGCCATCTTCCACCGCCAGCACCTAACCTCCCTGCAGGTCCGGACCTGCTGGCTCCCAGGAATCTGACTGCCTTGAGCGCTGTCACACTTAGGGGCGTCTCTTACAGTATATAAAATGACACTTCAGGGCAGCGGAAAACATGACACATTCGTTTAACACGAGACATCTGTTTGATTGATTGAGATTCATTCCCCTAGGAAGCTGCTTTTATCAGACCGGCTTATCCTCGAGGCGTACGCTTACCAATGGCTTTCATTTTTCATCCTTATTCTGTTCCACAAGATTGCTGTTGGAATTTGGTTGCTGGATGCGTTTTCCATAAATTACAAATTCCTGTTAAATGCTGAATACGTCCATATTGAATTATTGTATGTAAAGGTTCATTCCATGCTGAAAGGGTGTGACACGAAGAAGGCTCCACAGCCAAAACCTTGTGTTTTCTTTCCTTCTCTTTTCAGCAGGGAATAAACCTTTACTTGTTCCTTTGCAGCCTATGCATGCTGACGCAGCTGCCTACTTGAACTACATATTTAATTTACTGCATTGCTACTGAATGGAATCAATTTGCGGGACACACGTCTGTGCCAACACTTCCAGGATGTAGTCGTTATTATTAATTAATAATAATGTACAGTAATTGTGAGAACTGGAGTGATGATCTAGATTATTCAATGTGTTTCAGGCAGGTGATACAAGTTTGCATGTTGCTGCCCGCTACAATCACGTGGCCATAATCCGAATTCTCCTGAGTGCTTTCTGTTCTGTGAACGACAAGAATCAGGTCAGTGCACACGCTGGACACATGGCGTTTATACCGTGTTTGTGATGTCTTTCATATCTGGAGAGTTCACTTCTGCTTTTCAGCAAGTGGCCAGCACATCGCAAAAGACCATTTTGCGATGAACAATTCTGCGTTGCACACGGTGTCTATGGATAATTCAAAATCCAATAGCTGTTCCGCTACATGTCATTTGAAATCTGTATGCTAAAACAGAACCTTCAGTTTGTGATCTGAAGAAAAGAAGTGATGGTCTTGATGGAATGGCAGGATATCAAATAGGAATGATTGAATATTTAGACCACTTTTGTCAGTTCTCTCCTGATCTTACTCTCATAGCTAATAATTCCATAATTTTTGCATATTGTTAACCGAAAATCAAATTGTCTATCTTTCAACAGGCAGGGGACACTCCACTTCATCTTGCTGCTTGTCTAAATCATAAAAAAACTGTAAGGCATCTCCTGGAAGCAGGGGCTGACTGTACCGTGCTGAACAATGTAAGCTGCTGCCCCTTACGTTGTCAATTGGCAATTCAAAACTAACAGCGACACAATATTTGTATTACTTAATTAACTACTTTTATTATTTTATTTTTCATTAATTACTTAATTAAGTAATATTGTCCAGTAAGAAAGAAGAAAAGAATAGTATTTTTCTGGAAAAATGACATGTTGATCTAGCTCATCTGTTTTTTTTTATATATACAAGTACAGTAAGAGGTTTAACAAAGCTATAGAAAATTAAATACAATACATTTTTAATATGAAGGGTTCATGATATTCCACTGGTGCCATAAAAGAATGTTTTGAGGGTGCGTCCTTATGATACTGACTGCAGTGACTGCTTTTTATCTTGTGATGATTTGTTATGAACATAAATCTTACTTACCTTAGCTAATGTTTAATCCAAAAAAATAATGCTAAAAGTGTCGTCTTCTTTAGTTTCAAAAAATATTAATTCTGTGAATTGGTCTTGAATAAAAACAAAAACCTCTGTTATCATATGATTTCAAAACGTAAGTCTGTTCACTTTCGCAGGTTTTTACACAGACTATACAAACAGGGTTGTATAATAAATGAGAGGAAGTCTGTAAAACTGGATATACCGCAGTGTAGATTATTATAGTGAAACTGTGTAACCTCCAGGTGCAGAGGAGAGGAAAAGAATAAAAAAAGCTGGAAAAGGGAACATTGAGTGACTGTAATGATCAGCACTCTGGACTTTGAATCCAGTGATCTGAGTTATGGCTTGAGAATGTTCAGAATGAAATGCACTATATAAGAATAGAAATGATTAATTAAGTTTTGTTGTTTTTTAGTTTTTAATAAAGATTTGTTGACTTCTTGGAAGGGAATTTCTATTTTGTTAGAGAATATATTTGATAAATGTATAAAACCTGTAGATATCATTATTTTAATCTTGGACTTTATGTCATTATGGTAAATGTTGAACATTTGCATTACATTTTTAACAATATTTTTGTTGTTGCTTTTCTGTTATGCTATGTATTCTTTTATCAAACAGTATGAACAGTTTATAACAGCCAGGTCTATAAATTGAGGGGAATGGTGCGTACTATAAAGTTTGAAAGCTGTGGGAATGGTGCGTACTATAAAGTTTGAAAGCTGTCTTCTCTTCCCGCACTGGTGTCGATGTTTTCCTGTATGCAGGCAGGTCAGACTGCGCTGGATCAGGCCAGAGAATATAATAACCCAGAAGTAGCTCTCCTCTTGGCCAAAGCTCCTCAGGTCAGTTGGGGGTCACGCTCTCAGAGAACAGACTATGTAGGAATGCTTACAAACGAACCGTTGGGCCCATATAGTCCATGTGATACTTGGTTAGGTACTTGTTGCAGGAATCTCATCCAGCTGTTTTTTGATGAAACCAGAGTACTGGCTTTATCAACAACATGGATAGGTAGCATGTTCTATTATTCTCAAGGCTCTTTTGCAGACAGTATATCTGATTTTGTGTGGTTTTAGAGTACTTACAACTTTCATTATAATCTGTTACACAAAGGAATCAGGGTTCTCTATTTTTCTGTGAAAATGGAAAACGTTGAATTGATTTTATAATAAAGTCTATCTGTGTTTCTGTTTCACAGAGTTTGTCAATCCAGGACTGGTGCTAAAACCCACAACTGCACCCAGTGCGTTACTGTTATTCCAGTGGTTTTATAATTAAACAGTAGAGCCAGTACAAGGAGGAACAGGCCAGACAAACAGCTTTGACATACTGTAAACATCTGAGTATCTGATGAGACCCCAAAGAACTGAAGAGAAAAATAATTTAGGAAAATTTGCTCAGTATTCAAAAGTATTGACCTAGGAATGAGCAGCGTGTATACTGTATAACTGACCGGACAGAAGTCAGGCCTTTTCTTTCCTGGCTCTTGTCCTGTACTTCAGGAAGGCTATTTGGATGGGTGGCATTAGACAGATGAGTTGTCTGGCGCGTTCTGATCTTATGGTGACCGAACCCCACCATTCAGCCCCAGTCGAAACAGAACCAGAGGTGTCCGACCAGACAACTCTTGCCAGCTGACAGTTTGCTCTTCTGGACAGGTCCAAAGCTTTAATCGTGGGAGGAGTGTGAGGAAGAGAAGAGAGAAGTTAAAAGAAGAACGACGGGCACAGTCCGTCCCTAGAGACGAAATGCTGCCGAGCAAGGCAAGTGAAGTCAGCCTTCTTCAGAACAGACTAAACTTATGGTTTAAACACATTTTGAAATAAAATAGATTTTACCAAGCAGTTGAGGGTAAGAATATATCTGCAAGAGGTCTCATGGTACATGGATGTGTATTTTGAGCCCTCATTTACAACGGGTTGTCTGATGAAAACAAACGCATCCACTTCCACACAAATACGTATGTGGTCTTCAGCTGAAGTGTAACCTTGAGCTTTCACAGGACCACGGAGAATCGCTGAAGTCCATTGGCAGCTCAGCACTGTTATAAAAAGCCCTGCAACAGGTTTCTTAATGTACTACAATGTCCAGTTTAATTTTTACTGTTATATAGTAGTAAGGCTAATATTCCTTATACTCCACAAGTATTCCTATTAGTTAAAATACATCCGCTTGTTATACTTTAAGAAAAAAACATTTTGGGAAACTAAACCTTAATCCATCGTCTTATTACATTTGAATGAACTCAGTGTGGCTGCTGTGTGATGTTCGTTCCTCTCAGTGGTGGTGCTTCTTTTATGCCAACCTCGTTAATATCAAGCGAGCTCCGTGCAGGTCCGCATTCTCCGTGCTGACCCCTTCAGCGTCCTGTGCCTTTGAACAGGGGAGCGTGTCTGTGGCAGACGATACGCCCAGCAGCGACCAGCCACCCCAAAGAGGGGGGGAGAACCAGAGGAAAATCTCTTCCAAGAAAGACCGGAAAAAAAAGAACAAGGAAAAGGTACAGTATACCGGCGCTGGAATCAGAAAGGGGGTCTTTGCCAATAAAAGCTCTGCTGGGCTTCTGTGATCTTTCGGCACTTGGGATATGGATTAGACCTGCTTACCTTTGAAATACGCACCGGAGGTGTTTGGAATTCTGTCCGTAATGCAGTATCTTTGTCTTTACCCACTTTAGTTTTCTTTATTTCCAGTTCCTGTTCTTCATGTTCTGCCGCTCTCGGTTTCTCACGTGCTGTAGTTTGGCAGGGGCCCGGTAGCTCTCTGGTGCTCTGCTGGAGTCCTCCTCTGCTGCTTGTGTCTCCTGCAGCCCTCGCTGTCGGACCCCCTGTCGAAGACAGACACCCAGCGCCGTGAGGGCAGTGGCAAGAAGAGAAGCAAGCTGCACAGCTCTTCGCCTGCGGCCCCACAGCCTCCTCTTCCTCACAGCTACAAGGCCTACCAGCTGTACACTCTCTACCGGGGCGAGGACGGCAAGATCATGCAGGTGCGCGCCGCTCTGTGCAAGAAGCGACAACGTAGACGGTTTCTGGGTTTGCCGTATACAGAGGGTTCCCGTTATGTCACCCCAATATTCGACTTTGGCTTATACAACACCAGTTAAATTTCCATCCGGTTGCAAATGGCTTCTTCCAGTTCAGGGCTGTGAGAGACCTGGAGCCTGTCCCAGCAAGCTACTGGCACAAGGCAGGGTACACCCTGGATGGGACGTCAGTTTATCTTAGGTCAATTAATTAAGGAAACTAAATTCTTTACACACCTGCACTGCACAGATTTCAAGGCTCCAGACGGCGGCCGGGCGACTTTCGTGTAGTCTGGGCTGCAGGCCTTGTGGTGCGGTGTGAGGCAACCTCAGTCCTTTGCTTTGACCTCCTGACTGTCTGGACGTTTTGAAGGGAATGCATCACGAGCACACACCTATATTCCTGATACATTTATGTGGCTCTGTAACCATGGCTGGGACATCAAGTGTTGGTGCAAAGTTAAGTGCTATTAGCAAGAGGCAACGTGTAAGTGGGAGTCTTGCTGTGAAAAAAGACATGATAAAGCACATCCGAAATGGTGAATAAAATACGAACAATAATAAAATACTTGTCTTATGTATTTCTGTTGAATATTTTTAAAGTTTATAGGTACATTATGTAAATACATGTGTATGAACTATATATGTAATATTATTTATTCCCCTTTTTTCCTGTACTTAGCAATACTTAGGAATGTAAGTTACTGTATAATAGGGACCCTCTTTACTTGACCCCAAAGGTGACCAATTTTGTCCACCTGATATATTCTGTACTTTAACTGAATCTTTAGTTTCTTCATTGTTTGAAATGATTATATTTCAATTCCTCACCAGAAATAGATTGGCGTGTTCCTGTGTGGACCACGAAGGCTTAAAAGTTTTCTCTTTCCTTCTGCAGGCGCCAATAAACGGCTGTCGCTGTGAGCCCCTAATTAACAAACTGGAGAACCAGCTGGAAGCTACCAAAGAAGAGATGAAGTCTGAGATCCAGACGGTGCAGGACCAGATGAACAGCAAACTGGGGCAACTGGATTCCAAGAACAAGCATCAGGTACACTCGAGGTTTTCAGCCAGGGCTCTGGGGACTCCTGGTGTCCCGTAGAGAATTTCCACAGGGTTCCCCTCATCCACTAGTGTTTAGAATTAATACTCGCACAACAGTGGCCCTTCTGACAAGGGTTTACTGTGGGTCTACCAGTCTGGTGTTAGTTAGTCTGCTCCTAGTATTTTATAATGAACAGTGCCGTTATTTATACAAAAAAATCTAGACTTTAATTGGATTTTAGGTATGAATTGGAATGCTACTTCCCAACAGTTTATATAGACCAAGACCCATGACGTGGATCCATCCATATTGTAGATTCTAGGTTAGTACATCGTCCTATACACATCGTCCTGTACACAGAATGCGATCTGACAAGACTCAAATTCAAAGAAAAGGCAGACACCTTACATCAGTGGTACCCAATCCTGGTCCTGGTGACCCACACAGCTGCTGGTGTTCATTTCATCGTACCTTTATAAGATCATCGATCCCTTAATTGATCTAAGAAGTTGCTTCATCGGAAGATTTGCATCTGGTTACCAGTCACAAGTTTGGGTTTTAATTTCACTCACAAGTCACAATGGGTTTAAAAGTTGAGAACCAGCAGTTCAAATGCAAATGCTGATGAGTAAGTCGGTGAAGGGTCTGAGAGTGTAACTGTCTCAGGTCCTGGACTGGGAGGGACAGCCTTACACAAACACCACTGGATGGGAAAATCACCTTGTCACGGCGGAGGAGTAAAAAAAAACAAACTTTTTACAGCTCAGTCTGGGGCTCAGAGTTTTCCCGCTGAATAAAGCTGAAGGAAAAGATTTTGCCGTGTCTTCTTTTCCCAGATGAAGGTGTTGGAAAAAATGACGGGAGAAAGGATCTCGGCGGAGAGGACAGAGTGTCTGCACCGCATCGACCAGAGGGCGGCGCTGGAGCGCCTGGAGGGGGAGAAGAAACAGGTAACGGACAGCGAGCGACACCGGCGGGCCCGCGGATTTGAGCGCACTTTGTTCGAGATGTTCAGATGCGCGCGTGTCGCAAAACGAGATCGCGAGAGCCGCGGTGGTCTGGTCCCTTGGCTGTTTTGTACAGGAACGTAAGACATTTCTGGCGATGGTAGACTGCAGCTGAGAGCATGTGAAATGTGTTTCACAGGGAATAACAGCACTCAGGAATTCAATCATAAAGAGTACTGGAAAGCAACGGGGCTCAAGCTGCCGGGCTGAGGGCCTGGTAACAGGCTGAGGAGGTTGGCGTTCCTATGAAGAAAGATGAATGGGAAGGAATAAAGGAATAAAGAAATATTATGTATAATGTTAATCTTTCATAGGAAATGACATCAGTCTAGTGCATTTGGTGGGTAATGGCAACAAATGAGCAAAAGGCAGAAAATTCAGCACTTGAAGGAAATATGGTCCAACAATTGTTTAGTACTCAACTTCAGAGTTTCTTACCTTTGACTTTTCCAAATTCTTCTACAATTTGAAACAGTCTCTGTTACATTGTTGCACACATCAACTAGATACATTTAAGATTTAAATGATTGTCCTATACTAGCGGTCTAAAAGAACTGAACATTTTTATCTGGAACAGCCCTGGACTGGATAAAGCAGTTAGAAAATGGATGGATGGAGACCGAACAGCTTTTTTTTTTCTGTCGAGCAGGCGTCCGTGGTAAACGAACTTAAAAACTGGTGCTTGTCGAAGATTCAGAACATGGAGGTGCGTATTTCCGGAGACTCCAGGAACGCAAAGCCCAGCCCGCCCGCGTCGGCCGGCGGGGCCGATCCGGAGAGCCAGCGAGCCCCGCAGGAGAGCGTCGCAGGGGGAGCCAGCGTGGGCCCCGCGGCAGAAGAGACCTCAGGGAAACAGTACTTTGTGGTTCAGCAAGACAGCTCTCCAGGTACCGAACTTCTCTAATAATATACGACATTTTATCGTACGGATACCAAATACTTAGTCTTAATAGTATTAATCAAGCACTTTTTCTGAGTACATCGACGGATACATTTAATCATTTTTAGCAAAAGGAAATACATTGAAAGACGGATTTTTAAGCTCAAAACTATAGTGTGTCATTGCCTGTTTTAAAGACTCATTGCATTTTTTCCCCACAACTCTTAAATATTGAATGTGGCGGCAGTACTGAAGCATAAACCTTGGAGTGATTAGAGTTTTGCATTATTATACATGACAGGTTGTATCAATGTATTCCCGTTTAACTAGAGCTTTATGAAACTGTTTGAAATGTGGCATTATTATGAACCCATACTGGAAAATACAGTAATGTAATTATAATAATAATTGCTTAAACTTATATAGCGCTTTTCTGGACACTCCACTCAAAGCGCTTTACAGGTAATGGGGATCCCATCCACCACCACCAATGTGCAGCAACACCTGGATGATGCGACGGCAGCCATAGTGCACCAGTACACTCCCCACACACCAGCTCTCAGTGGGGAGGAGAGCAGAGTGTAACCAATACCACAACATTTGTTAATAGTTAAACAAACCTAGACTCGTCTTGACATTACGCACTCATAGACTTTCATGTAATTCCACATTTATCAGCAGTTTTGTGTGTGTTATGTGTGTAGGTGAAAAGCAAAATGTTCCCGAGTTCTCTGGCGCAGCCCAGCCGGGATCTCCTCAGGTCGTGAGGCCCAAGGAGCGGGCCCCGGCCTCTGCTGCCCCCAAGAGGCCGCCGCTGGAAGTGCGCGAGCCGGAGCCACCGGAGTGCCAAGCCCGGGGGGCGAACCCGCGGGTCTCGGACAGCCGCCTCCGCAGGTCGAGCAGCCTTTCTCCGGCCACCGAGCGGCGCTGTGGCAGGCCGGACAGGGACAGGGACAAGGAGAAAAGCAAGGAGAGGGGAAGACATGGGAAGAAAACCCCTCTCGGCAAGGCGAGGCCCGACGCGCCAAAGGCCCAGGCAGGCCGCACCCAGGCGCCCTCCGGCGGCCAGTCCCGGGAGACCCGGCACGCGCTTGAAATCACGCAGTACTTCTTCGAGGCCGTCTCCACGCAGATGGAGAGGTGGTACGAAAGGAAGATCGAGGAGGCCCGCTCCCAGGCTGACCGGAGAGCCTGGCAGGACCGAGAGGCCCTGCTGGACCGCATCGGCAGCCTGGAAGACGAGCTGCGCCAGCTGAGGGCGAAGGCGCAGAAAGAGGGCGAGTACGAGGGCTGGCAAGGGTAGCGTGCTCCCCGACTTTCGACAGGTGGCATCAAACATCCGCTGGCAACTCCCATCAGAAGAAAGGCAACACATAAAAAAAAACAAACGCACCCATTCTTTGTTAAAATACAATTTTTACCTGCCAGTTGCCTTCGGCACATCAAAAGGTCATTCCAGGAAAACCGACTGAGACGATGTGCCCTCTTCCTCGTTTTCCACTCGGTAGTCTTCTCGTGTGAATGTAAAACCAAACCGAGGTATTGGAAAAAAGTTTTGTCGAAAACAGCCATTGACACTAAAACAAGTGTCAAAAATAAACTTAATATGAGGTTCCTGCATGTAGCTTTCACTTCATAATGATAATGAACCGCGTTTGAAAAGCAGATTGCATTAGTGTTAGAACACTTCCTCCTGCCTTTTTTAAGAGGTTTTTTTT